GTGTGTGTGTGTGTGTGTGTGTGTGTGTGTGTGTGTGTGCACATGAGTGCAGGTGCCCTCGGGCAGCTGACCCCCTGGAGCTGGAGTTACAGGTAGTTGTAAGCTGTCTGATGTGGGTGCTAGAACTCAGGTCCTATGCAAGAGCAGTCCTTGCTCATAATTGTTGAGCTATCTCTCCAGACCCTTCTTTAATTTTTTAAAATTTATTTATTTGTTTATTTATTTATTTATTTATTTATTATGTATACATTGTTCTCCCTGCACACCAGAAGAGGGAGCCAGATCTCAGTACAGATGGTTGTGAGCCATCATGTGGTTGCTGGGAATTGAACTCAGGACCTCTGGAAGAACAGTCGGTGCTCTTAACTTCTGAGCCATCTCTCCAGCCCCCTTCTTTAATTTTTAATCTTTTTTATTATTTATTGTGCATGGTGGTGGGAAGGATGGGTGACTGAGGTCAGAGGATAAATTTCATGAGTGTGTTCTCTCCTCCTACCATGTGGGCCCCAAGAATTGAACTCAGGTCCCAGGCTTGATGGCAGACAGCTTTACCTGCTGATCCAGCCATTTCACCGGCCCTTGTCGTGGTTTGTTTTTGGAAACAAGGTCCGTCTCTGCATCCCTGGCTGTCCTAGAACTCATTATGTGGAGCAGGCTAGCCTCAAACTCACAGAGACTCACCTGCCAAGTGCTGAACTTCTCAAGTGCTGGAATCAAAGGTGCGGACCACCACACCCAGCAGAGTGCCGCACCTTTTGCTGCTTCCCAGGATCAGCTCTTACTGAGACCAGCAGACCATTCCAGAAGGTTCTGTGGGAGCTCAGGCGATCTTCTTCCTCTCAGACCACACCCAGGTCCGTGCCATCAACTCACGGCAGTGTCACGGAAGGGTTTCCTTGGAATGGGGTGGCTCTTCCTCACTTCTCCCCAGGTAGCAGCCACCATGCTGGTTCCTAGGAATTTCCTTCATCACACTAGAATTAAAAGGAGAAATGAAAAACAGATGAGGTAGGAGAAAACCGTGTTCTTCAGAAAAGTATTTTGCACAAGAGAAATTAATTCCCAAGAAATGTGAACGCCTTGGGAAGGCGAGCCCTGTGGGTTCCTTTGCTTCTGCAGCCTCCTTTGTCCCCTTCCCACCTTTCTGCTTGTCATAACTGGATGAAAGGAAGATCAGGAAGGAGCGGGTATGGTACTGACTCCTTGGGTCATGTCCCCTCCACCATATCTGACCTCTTCCCCATGTCTAGAGGAGGTGACCCACACAGCAGAGGTTCCAGGTCTGTCCCTCCTTTCTCTTCATGATTAGCTCACACCACACCCTTCTAGGACACTTCCTGGGCCATTAGCACTTTTCTCTTTCCCACTCTCATGGTCCTAGAACTTCTGTGTTCTTTGCAGATAGACCCTGGCATGCCACCATGGCCTTCTCTGGTGGAGCCTGATCTGGAGTCTTCTTCAGTGAAGTCACCTCAGGCCTTAAGAGGTTTTGCAGGATGGAGAAGGTCTACATGGCCTCCTGGAAATCTTTGGGGTATGCATCAAAGAAGACTATTCGGACACAGATTTAAGCCAATAGTCTCTATTAGTCTTTTATCGCTGTCTGGGGGACCAGCCTCCAGCAGCTCAGGGCTCAGAGGGAAATCCACCTTGTTGGCATGTACTAGACTTTTCTATCTGAGGGGGTTAGGGAAAAAGACACTCACACTCTCTCTTGAAGATTTCCTTCTTTATTCTCTATTCTGTGTTCTTTCTATGTTCTTTCATTGTCGACTGAAGAAAGAAGGCACTCCAAGATGAAATTTTAAAGCCTACGTGACAATGGGAAGGTCCAGACTCTTCTGATGGACTGGACTGGACTGGACTGGACCCCCGAACAGCTGTAAAAAGGTGTATTTATTGGTTGTTACACAATGTATTTCCTCATACTAAGGTTCCCTAATCTTAATTCACATGTCTTACTGAAGGAGAGCATCACATGCCTCCGTGACTCTAGTCCTTTATTATGTATTGTGTGCAACACACAATAACACAAGATGTGCCTGAGACATCTTGTGATGGAAGTCATGGGAGAGATGCAAAACCCCTTCAGTAAAATAATCATTGTCTTCCACAAGGATTATTCAAGGTCAAGGTACTTCCAAAAAACAGCTGTTCATTCTAATATTTGTCCTATACAGTGATTCTGCTAAATTCCTACAGAGTACAGGTAAAAACATGTATTTTTTTCACAGCCAACTCTTGTTGGCAGGCTGTACATTGAGGTTACAAAGAAAGAATCAATCACTTTACTATTTATCTTGAGAAATCTTAAAGGAATCAAAAACCTAAACTTTCATGCATAAAAAAGTCAGCTGTATTCTAGATCCTTAGGATCCCACTCATCAGTAATTTTTTATATGAGGAGATTGAAGGCAGAAATGGGTACAAGGGATTAATCATCACCTTTGATCATCAACCACCCCTAACATGAAAATACATCAGCTAGTAACAGTTGGGCTGCTCTGTATTGACCTCAGCTATGTGTCCCTGTGAACATTAGATTGTTTTCTGGAGTTTTTCATCTTAAGGCTATTATCAAAACATCTGATTTTACCTTAAGTTATTATAAGGCTTTGTTTCAGCTAATCATGCACACCCAAACCTGTGACTGTGCCTTTTAACATTAAGATTAAAGGAATTTGAGCCAGCCTGGCTCCCGGGACTCAACTGTTTCTCCTAATCATCAATTTGAGCTATGATCCCTGCAACTCCCTAAGTGAAAGTCATAGTGCCCAGCTCTGCGGCACCTCCCTGTGTCCACCTCCACTCATCTTTTTACATTAAGATTAGGTCTTTGTTTTTGTTTTAGCAAATGGAGCTGTCTGTGTGCTGAGTTTTATGGCCTGGTGGTACTTCCATAATGGAGTCAGTTGTGCTAAGGCCTGGAGGCCTACTAAGGTATGAGAGCCTCTTACAGAAATGACTTGGGTGGTCTTCATTGAGTCACCCTACCAGGTTCCACTTGAGAATGCTTCCATCTGCCCTTCCTTCCTTCCTTCCTTCCTTCCTTCCTTCCTCCCTTCCTTCCTTCCTTCCTTCCTTCCCTCCCTCCCTCCCTCCCTCCCTCCCTCCCTCCTTCCTTCCTTCCTTCCTTCCTTCCTCCCTTCTACCACAGTCTCTCTGTGTAGCTCTGGCTGTCCTGGATCTCGCTCTGTAGACCAGGTTGTCCTCGAACTCACAAAGATCCACCTGCTTCTGCCTCCCTAGTGCTGGGATTAAAGCTGCACACCACCACTGCCCAGCTTGACCTGTTCTTTCTTGGTAAGTTGTTTTAGGAAAGGCTGGGTGCTCTCTCCTGGAAGCCTGTGGCCCTGGAACCCGACTGGGCCAGCCCCAGCCCTCTCCAGTGTCCCTTCAGTGAGGAGCATGAGAGGACTGTGCACAGGCTGAAGAGTTTATTTTCTCACTTGTGCTTTGGTTTAACCAGGGTCTTTTCAGTCTCAGGGGGTAATTCTTTTCAAGGACAAGGTTTTACAAGAGAACCTGTCTAACAACAAAACAAAATAATGCAGCTTCCTTTTTCTTTTCTTTTTTTTTTTTTTTTTTTTTTTTGTATAAACTCGTTGATTGCTCCAAGGTATGGTTGAGGTTGGAATGCTTTTATAGTAGATATGAGTGAGAGTACCGCCAGAGGCACCTGGAAGAGTCCAGAGGGAGAGAAGGTAGTGGACCGAACATAGCCAGCAGCCTGGACCTGGTCATGACAGGATGGGTGAGCAGAGCCAGAGAGGGGGCCGAGAGTTCGGGCAAAGGAGACCAAGAAAGAGGGGAAGAGAGAGGGGCCAAGACAGCGTCGGCCAGAGTGTCAGGGTTAAGTAGGAATGAGAAGCTGGAGGAGGGAAGCCCACGACTGGAGAAGCTTGGGGCGGGAGGGGGCAGCCTGGGGAGAGCTGAGAATGGCCAGAATGCCAGCATGGGTTCTGTAACAGGTACTTGTGATTCTGAGAGCCTGGGGTTCAGCATGTGCTTTAGTACTAGACACCACAGGTAGCCATTTGTCCTGAGTTTCTTTTGGGTCTCTCCTATGTATCCCTAACTGACCTGGAACTCACTACATAGACCAGGCTGAACTTGAACTTACAGAGATCCACCTGTCTCTGCCTCCCAAACCCTGGGATTAAAGGCTTGCGCCACTGTGCCTGACCTCTCCTTTTTTCCTTAAGTTTATTTATTTTATGTGTACTCAGGTGTTTTGCCTACATATGTCTATCTATGTACCATGTGCATGCCTGGTGCCCGTGGAGGCCAGAAAACGGGTTGAATCCTGCAGGACTGGAGTTACAGACAGTGGTGAGTAGCCATGTGGGTGCCAGGAACTGAGCCCAGATTCGCTGGGAGAGCAGCAGGTGCCCTTAACCACTGAGCCACCTCTCCAGTCCTCAGGGTCCCTTTTGAACTGTGAGACAGTCTCTGCATTGCCCTTAGACCTTTGGAGATGCCTCTCCTGCCTCCGGTGAAGAACTTCCCCGGCAGGAAGTCCTTTTCAGGGGCTTCTGGTCTTCACTTAGGGTCTTTGCTCCCTAACTGTTCCCACCTTGGCCAGTTTCCTCTGTGGTCCCTATAAATGCCTGTCCCCCTCTTGAGCTGACAGGAAACTTGGGTCTGTCCTTGGCTGTCCTCAGTTCCATCTGCTGTTGATTCAGACTACCACCGCCCCCTTCTGGTCCTTTTCCCTCTTCACCTCCGTCACGGTCCTTCCCAGGTGACAAGAGGTGAATTGTAGCGACCCAGTCTGCCCTTTGCCGTCACTTGAAGCTGTCAAAGGTCAAGCCTAGACAACCTGCTGCCCTTAACTGGTTTCACTTAGATTCCAGCTGCATGCAAGGATTTGCCGAATGAAACAGCTTGCTCTGTAGGTAGAGAAAGAACAAGAAAGCAGGAAGGAAGAAAAGTGGCTGTGATTTCAGTTATGTCTGTGTAGGGGAGTCAGGGAGTCGAAACACAGGAAAACAACCACACCCTAGCAAGAGGATTAGGGCAGAGGGCACTTCCTCCTCCTCCTGCTGTGGCCTGGAGCTAGGTGTGGTGTTTGCCTGTAATCCCTAACCTAGAGCTGGAAGCAAGAGGATTAGGAGTCTAACGCTCATTGGTGGATTGGAAACCAGCCTGGACTAGGTGACAGCCTAAGGCAGTGTGTAGGAGAGGCCACTGGGGGATCTGGCTGTAGCCACTGGCCCCGGTTCCTGGTTAGTGTCAGCCTGGTGATATGGAGCTGTGGAATACAGGGACTCAGCATCTGTCTTAGTCACGGTTTCTACCACCTTCAAAGACACCATGAGCAAAAGCAACTCCGGGAGGAAAGAGTTTATTTCAGCTGACAACTCTCAGTTCATGTTCTGTCTCTGAGGAAAGTCAGGAACCTGGAGGCAGGACTGAGGCAGAGGCCATAGAGCAAGGTGTTTATTGGAATGCTCTCTACAGTTTGCTCAGTCTGCTTTTTATACACCCCGTTAATTGGGTGGGGCACCACCAACAATGGGCTGTGCCCCCACCCCCATCAATCACTAAAAAAAATTCCCCACAGACTTACCTACAGGCTAATATTATGGTGACCTGGGGTTTTCAAAGCACACAGAGTTTGTCTCCTAGGCTCAGGCCAACTCGACAGCTGCTGATGTCCTTAATGGTCATCCATGGCACTAGCATCTCAAAAATGCTTGGGTTTCCACTGCAACTGAGACCTCACCTGACCTCTCATGGTGCCAAGCCTCAGCTGCTCTCCATGACCATATCTTCAGAACCAATGCCATGGGGCACTCGGGAGGAGGCACTTGGGAGTCAGTGGTGGCTGGATCTCTGTGAGTTCAAGGCCATCTTGATCTAGTATCGACAAGTTTCAGGCTAGCCAGAACTACATGGTAAGACCCTGTCTTAGAAAACAATATTACTTGGGAAAATCTTTTACATGACCAAGTTTGGCTGTCAGCATGAGGTACAACCTCCACCTGCTCTAGACCTCAGCTTTTGTGTGCTTGCCCTAAGGAAGTACTCACAGATTTATGACCTCAATGATGCTGGTCTCTTTTTATTTGTTTGTTTTGAGGCAGGGTCTCTCTGTTTTGTAGCTCTGGCTGGCCTCGGACTCAGAGATCCATCTGTTTCTGCCTCCTGAGTGCTGCTGGGGTTAATGGCATGATCTGACCAGATTTTTTTTTTTAATTTTGGCCTTAGATTTATTTATTTAATTTAATATGTATGTGGGAACACCCACAGTTCCACTCGTACATGAGTGAGTAGTCATAACAGATGAATGAATAAATAGTGTAGCACGTGCATGCCACCAACTATAATCCAGCTGTGTGTGTGTGTGTGTGTGTGTGTGTGTGAGAGAGAGAGAGAGAGAGAGAGAGAGAGAGAGAGAGAGATAGAAAGATAGATAGATAGATAGATAGATAGATAGATAGATAGATAGATAGAACATTCATGGATTCCAGAAGTAAATTTCAGCTGTCTTCCTTAATTGGTCTTGGGTTTCCACCTTATTTTTTGGACAGTCTCTTTCGAAATTGCTGAATCAATAGACTGATTGGCCAGCAAAGGCACTGAGGATAGCCTCCTGTCTGCCTCCATAGCACTGGGGGTTCAGATGTGTGTCACCACGCTCAGCTACACACACAGGTGCTAGGGACCCACACTCAGATCCTCTGCTTGCAGACAAGCCCTCTCCCAACAGCCCTAGCTCCCCAGCCACACTACTGATTTCCTCCCAATATTGTGGTTTGCTTTTTTTTGAGACAGGGTCTTACTATGTAGACCAGATTACTATGTAACCAGGCTTGGTTGATCCTCCTGCCTCTGCCTCCGGAGTGCTGGAATTACAAGCAGGTGCCGCTACACCTGGCTCAGTAGTGAGGCTTGAACGCAGGGTTTCATGTGTATGAGGCTGGGTTTCCCCACATTCAACCCCAGTCTTAGAAAGAAGTGGGCCCTGCCACCTGCCACAACACGCATAAACAGTGTGGACATTGTGCACAAGAAGCCAGACACAGGACACATGTGTGATGCCACTTGCAGGTCCACACACTGACTCTCTTTAGACCACCAGCTCCCGAATAATGACATGGAGACCTCTTATTTTTTTTTTCCCATCACAGGCAATTTATTTTGTTCTATTCATTCACAGTTAATACAGAAAATACTTGGAAACATTTCCATATAATGTTTGACACAGAAATCATCAAATA